GTTTTCTTATAAAGTTAATCTACGGTAAAAGTTTACTTATATTCATTCATCCACTAGCGCACGTTTTCATTCTCTCGTTTGCCCTTTAATTATAAAAGCATTTAGGTAATCATGCGCAATCATTGTTGTTTTTCGTTTGTCTTTCTTCTGAATGTATGCGTTATACAGCTGAGTGGAAGGTTTGTAAACTGGCATAGAGTCAGGAAGAGGTGAATTCTGGCAGATTTACTGTCTGCCATGAGCGAAATGACCCCACACTATCTGAAGAATAAAGAAACAGAGTCGCAAGCGCAAAACAGGTCAAACCATTTAACAGCCAGAATGAGATAAAAATGAAAATCAGGGAAGATGGTGACAGGAACAGAAAGATAAAAAGGTATTGAGAATATAAGAAAAAAATATATAACAATAGTTTCTGGCTGTATCTATCATCAATAAAATTGTAGTAGAAATTATAGGACGAAAAGCTATTATTTTCTAAATATTGAAAATCAAAGAACGAATAATGTTATCCGGGAAGAAACAACAAAATCAGGTATGGCTGAACATGTCTAAATAGAAATAAAAGGTTATCAGTCAACTTGATTTAGATTTTAAAATGTTGACATAAAATATGGTGCGTAATTTAAAAGAAGTGGCATATATATATATATATATATATATATATATATATATATATATATTAAATAAAAACAGACCACTTTAAGGTTCCATGTAATAAATTATTTCGCCACAGCCCTTTTAAAGGACTGCGGATCATCAGACTTTGCCTCCAAACAAAAAATGAAAAGAAAATTTACACATTTTTGACGGGCCGTATTAAACATATGTAAATTAACGAAGTGAGGCGGGAGAGAGAAGACATGAGTGAGTTAGTAGATATTGACACATTTTAACCAAACGGTTAACTTAACGGAAGTTATATATTGATATCGAAAGGGTAGAGAAGGAAAAAACCATACATATGTTTAATACGGCCCGTCAAAAATGTGTAAATTTTCTTCTCATTTTTTGTTTGGAGGTAAAGTCTGATGATCCGCAGTCCTTTAAAAGGGCTGTGGTGAAATAATTTATTACATGGAACCTTAAAGTGGTCTGTTTTTATTTGAATTATTTGCTCTGGATTTACATTGAGCTCTCTGGATTTTATCCTCCTTAGGTTTACCCATACGGATTACCTAGTTTTTCATAAACTATATATATATAGTTTTTGGCAGAAATATATCTCACATTTTAAACTATCACCTGTGTTGTACTATTGAACTTGGGCAGGTGGTAATGGTGTCTTAATGTCTTAATCTAGATTAGGGTTTTAAGGTTTTTTTCAGATATCATCAGTTACCATCATGCTTTGGACTGTTGTACACTGTGCGTTTTCTGTTGAAACGTTTTTTTTTAAGGCTGGTTAATCTGTGATTGCAACGCAGAGAGCAGTTCGTGTTCATTTCATGTTACGTCGGAATGTTGCCGTTCCAGATAGAAAAATGATACTGCTATATGTTGAAAGTTTCAAGGCCAAAGATTCAGCGCTTAAAAGAAAGCCATCTGGAAGATGTCGAGATGCTCCAACTCTAGAAAATATTCAGGCTATGAGACAGTTTACACGTTTGGCCCGTAGACATGCTTCTGCTTTGGGATTGTCTGATCGAGCAGTCAGAAGAATTTTAAACACCGATCCGAAGTTCCATTTATGCAAATTAATGGTCGTTCAGCAAATGCAAGAATGCCACTGGAAAAATAGCATGTCATGCTGTGTCGATATCCTTCAAAATGTTCCCACAAATGCTGTTCTTCTCAAAAGTGATGAAGCTCACTTTCATCTATCTGGCTACATTAATAAGCAGAATTTTCGCTACTGGAGAGCTTTAGGAAAGTCCTCTACACACCGAACGAGTGACTTTGTGGTACGAAGTTGCGAAGTTTCGTGTATAGGGCCTTTATTTATTTATTTTTGAGGAGGAAGGAGGAAGACCATTCGCTTACACTAACATCTGACCAGTATGTGGAGACGCTGCGGACCTTTCTGGAAACAAAACTCAGAGGCGGAGTTCGGATGTGTGGTTTCAATAGAATAGAACAAACAGCGAGAAGCTCAATGTATGCTTTGAGAAAGATGTTTACAGAACATTTGATTTCCTTACACGGTGACATTGGATGACCTGCACGATCTTGCCCGATCTCGCCCTCTGCGATTATTTTCTTTGTGGTTAGTTGATTGCTGAGGTCTACAAACATCGACCAGCAACCATTGAAGTATTAAAGGTAGCTATTCGCCAAAAAGTGACAGAATTAACGCTATAAATGACTCTTCGAGTGATGGAAAACTTTAGAAATCGTCTACAACAATATATGGTGAATAGAGGTTTTATTTTTAAAACCAAATCAATAACAAGTATAGCACTTTGTTTAGACAACAGTGAAATATTTTTTATAGCAATTACCTTGTTTTTTGTCAACCCTTAGAATATGAGAGGTATTTCTGCCGCACCCTGTATGACTACGAACAAAGTTTTGGTTTCAAACTTATTTTCAAATAAACGCTCAGGAAATTCAAGTTTCCTTATTCGCAACCTACGATTCTTGGGATCGACGCAGGAATATTAAAAATATAAGATAAGCACTATAAACTTGTTAAGACATCACAGGATTTTGTGATGGGTCAATCTCTTCTTAATGGGATTCATCAATATACTGTCATGTGATTCTGTTCTTCTGTGATATTTATGGCTGAAATAGAAGAAGAAAATGAAAAAAAAAAAAAAAAAAAAACTGTACAATGTGGCCTTTAAAGACCAGTGGCAATAATATACACTAAGTAAAGGCAAAGCCTATATCTGCCGAAAAGTTTTGTTAAAAACATCATGGAGACAAGATTCCGAAAAATCAATGAATGAAAGAGGATTGAATATTTAAAATCTTATTAATAAATTCTCTATTGATAATACGCCAAGTGTATTTTTATATTTTGTATATAATATTTTTAATTATTTGTTTACATCTTGTTATCTCTCTTGCATTGGCGAAATCAAACGTTGAATTCAGACAACTACTTTCCTGAACTGCATCGATTAAAAAATCCAATCGATGAAAAGCGTCTGGATTTAACCTATCATTGTCGTCTTCCACAAGGACAACGACAGACCCCATGTCTCTCTGCTGATCTGGCAGAAATTGGTACAGTTTGGCTGGGATTTTCTACTATACCTACCATATTCTATCCGATCGTGCACCTTAGGATTACCATATATTTCGATCCCTACAAAATCCTCCTAAAGGGAAGGACTTCAGTTCTCTAGAAGCCTGCAAAAGTCAGTCAAACTAGTTCATCACCCAGAAAGCTGAATCATGAAGTTTTCTCATAGATTGTGAAAGGTAGCTAAACAAAATGACGGATATGTGGTTGAAAAAAATCTATGTACAAATACCTAAATATTGTCTTTGAAATTCACTTAAAAACGCTACGAATTCTTGTTCCAACCTAATAAAATATGCTATGCTAGGCATAAGATAAGGACCCAATTTTCAATTGTTATTAAGTAATAAACTGATCCCCCAAATATACTACAAATTAATTAAATATGTAAACGTATATTTAAAGATACGCATAAAAACCTAATAATCCAATTAAGGATTTAAAATGTCGTATATGCTGTCATTTTTGACAGTATGAATAAGTGTTGGATTTTAATAAACATTGAAAGGAGATTCTATAAAATGGTAAAGGCACTGACAATTCAAACATTTAATACACTTTGTTCGGTGTGATGTAATGGTTAAAGACTCAGAAATCGGAGAGCCGAGTTCGAATTCCGGTCGGGTTTGTTACATTCTCTTACGCGCATGTATCCATCTCTTCTTGAATAACAGGGCAGACTAGATCCTATAGCCTTGGCTGGCAATCAATCTACCGTAGAATGTTATAGCAGGCTACTGCGGGAAAATCTGCCTAGTCAGTCATGAATAGCTCAAATGTGTATCACGAACTGACTGAATACGCTTTAGCAGTATCTTGCGCCAATCTTCCAGCTGGGGTTGGTTAGCTTGGCTTAAATAACAATAAGTCACTCGAGGGAAATATGCAAATGTTCATTTTAATTACTTATCTATGTTTAATATTTACTAAGTCTGCAAAAAGTTCAAATATAGGTATAAGAGCGAGAAAATTGTGTTGCGTCTACTTTGAAAGTAGGGAGAGTTTATTTACTTCAATCACCATTCAAAAACGTGGCTTTTAACTTCGTTCGGACACCGAATGTTGGCCCTGTTGGCAAACCCATTGGCCATCGGACAAACCAAAAGAGACTGACAATATATGCCTTTGGTAGAAATTTATTAATACGTTAAAATTAGAAACAAGTATTATGTTAAAAAGAATAAGATTGTGGGATTATGAAAATAGAAGGAAAGGCGAGTGTAGAAAGAGAAAGAAAGGTAGAGAAAAAAAAGCAAGGAATGAAAGTGGGAATGAAAAAAGCGAGAGAAGGAAGATGAAAAAAAAATGAATGAAGTGGAGATGAAGAGAAGTAAAAATAAAAGAACGATTGAAAGAAGAAGAAATTAGGACGTATGAAGCATAGAAGGAAAGGTGAAAAAAAAATGAAGACGGGAAAAAAATAAGTACTCTAGAAAAGAAAGAAGAAATAAAAACATAAAAATGGAGAGAAGTAAGAAAGAAAGAAAGTTCACGATATAGGACGACGACAAAGGATGCAAACAGAAAAAAAGTAAAGTATTAAACTAAAAGAAAATTGGGATAATAGAGGGTGAGGTAGTAGAAAAGGAGGATGAAAGGTAAAGATACTTTAAAAATAGGTGTGTAAAGCGGAGGAAACGCGGAATTGGGAAGAGGAAATTCAACATAAATAAAAGCCGAGCAGAGAAAAAAAGAGAAAAAAAAAAAAAAAAAAAAGAGGTGGGGTGGGGTGTAAAATATTGGATACATAAAATCAACTGAAAAGTAAACAATCAGTTTTTGAAAAAAAAAACTTTGGAAAACTTACATCCAATTTTATCTTCTGACAGATACTCGACCTGAAGAAGAAAAGAAAAAAAAAGATTATTATTCCGATTCAAAAAATCAAAAATAAATAAATAAATAAAAGACTGAATGGAGAATATACCGTATATAGATCATGTTTAGTGCAACCCATAAAATTTTTTTGCATGAATTTTAAATCAACAGAAAAAAGGTTACCTGTGTATAGTACAACCAGTCACCGAAAATGGATAATTTTTAACCTTTTCAAAAACGCTATGGCCTTCTTCAGGTGATTACAATTTCCTTACGGACACACGGCTCAGTGGATAAAGACGTTGGTTAGATCCAGTGACTAGACCCAAAGAGTTGAGTTCAAAACCAGGCCACAGCAGTGGTCAACTAAAACTTGGAGAGTTGAGTTAAAGGGAAATAACTGAGACATCTGGAAGAGGCATGGCATGTGGTACTAGAACAATCTACCTCGGTGAATGAAATAAAGGGTTCGGTTCGAAATTCCAATGAGTTGAAGAAGGCCGGAGCGTACAACGGTCGAAACGTTGTGAATATGGCAATGAAGATGAGGATAACAGTCTGAATAATGTAAATAATGAAAGTAATTTGCACCTTATAACTCAGTGGCAGCATGTCGGATCGTTAACACAAAGAAAATTTTTTAAAAAGTCGTACTTTTATTTTTTTTAACTGCAAACACAATGAAAAGAGTAATGTACCCTCATAATTCTTGCTTATATTACACTTGTAATATTAGATGTTATAGTATTCCAATTTCTTTGGACATATCGTCAACAGCAAGAGGTATGAAATTTTTTTTAAGCATATCACCCCAAGCAAGGCGGTAGTGCCACTAGAACGCAAAGGGTTACAGAGAGCGAGAGATAGAGTAAAGAGGGGCGTTTGAGGAAAGGATAAAGAGAAGGACGTGTATCAAGATCAAGGCATCAGAAGATGTCGATTGATATTACATTTGAAGATTATAGCCATCAGGGGAGCAAGTAAGAGGAAGAGAGTCCCGTTGTCGGGAAGTGCGAGATAAGAAGTTGTTGGAGTAGAAGAGACGGCTTCATTTCGACAGTGAAAGGGTGGGATCGAGATGCCAATCTAGTAGCACGCTTAAATTCATGCAGTTTGGGTACCAGTGCAAGTAGCTCGTCCTCAGCCTTCTCGGTATCCTCATAGACCCCAGTACTGTTGTAATTTGGAATTTCTCTAAGCTTCCTCAAATCATTATATTATTATTATTTGTCTATATTTCTGAGATGAGGTATTATGTACACTATTTACATTGTTCAGACTATCATCCTCCTCTTTGTTGCCATATTTATTATTATCGTTGTTATTATTGCTTTTCTCTGGCACTCCTTATTACTGGTTCCCATATTGTATTCATTTCTATGCTTGGAACCAGGAAAGAGAAAATTGAAAAAAGCAATATGAGCTTTGGTAAAAAAAAAAATGAAATGATAACAGCAAAAATTACAATATGAGCACTGGTAAAAATGGTTACTGAAGACATTAGGTTTATAATACCCAGATGTCCTCAAGGACACATGGCACAGTGGATAAAGGCGTTAGTTAGATCCACTGACAGGACCCAAAGAATGTGAGTTCAATACCCGGTTAAGGCGGTGGAGAACTTGGAGAGGAGAATTAACAGGAGATAACTGATAACTGACATCCATCAGACATGGCACGTGGGACTAGAAGAGCGAGCGAAATAAAGGGTTCACTTCGACATTTCAATCACCTGAAGAAGGCCGAAGACTACAACGGCCGAAACGTTGTGATAAATGTGGCAACAAAGATGAGGATGATAGTACAATGTAAGTAGTGTTAAATAATTATTGTTGACTGGCGGTGTTTTGTGTTACCAAATCTCAATTATACTCAAGAGGCAACAAGAAAGAAACAAACAGGGAGCATACAATCAGATAAAAACAATGTAATTGTGGTTACTGTATGGAAAGAGATCTATGTACGACTTCCAAAGAAGGATCAGCAATACAATCGATTCTGACTTGGCCTCTCGACTTCAGTCAATCTCCAACCCACGTGACGGGACTTCCCTCTGTATTTTCTACAAATATTTTCATTGCTACTGTTCTGACGAGCTTTTTTCCCTGGTGCCCGGGATTACGTATGTTTAAGCGTGCTACTAGATTGGCATTTAGGTCCCAACCTTTTACTGTTGAATTAGGTAAATGTAACCACCACTAACCAACAGTTGCTTTTCTCGCACTTCCCGCCTGTGGAACTCTCTTCCCTTTACTTGTTTCCCTGATTACTACAATCTTAAAAAATTTAAATGCAACGTCAATCGCCATCTTCTATCTTCTTGAACTCCATTCAGCTTTTATCCTTTCTTCGGTCGCCCAGTCTTTTCTCTCTCTTTCACTCCCTGTAACCCCCTGCGTACTAGTGGCATTCCTGCCTTTCTTGGGATGAAATAATTAAAAAAAATACGTATGATTTTTTTTGCAATTCATATATTTTAGGGTTACCATGATTTTGACCCATATATTTGTTTGCTTATTTTGATATAATCCCTAAACTCCACATAGCAACAGGTAATGTTGTATAGGGATGCTACAATCTATTGATTTCTATCTTGAGTTATTTGTATTTAGTTAGTTTCTCAATAGATGTGTTTTTGTCGGCTGGAGCAGCAGCATCTATCAGAACAGATAAGTTTTCCACATGATTTTTCACAATTATGTCCGGCCGATTTGCCTGGATTCCTCCATCCGTCTGAATGCTGAAATTCCAGAGGATGGCAACCTCACCATTCCGAAAAACCTGTATATTCTGAACACTCCTCTTCGTGGAGGAGGTTGTACGCGCGACAAATTGACTAATTTACACTATTTACATCGTTCGGACTGTTGTCGCCATTTTTATTTTTGCCATATTCACAACATTTCGGCTGTTGTAGGCTCCGATCTTCTTTACAGAAATATAGACAAAAATTGACATTATTATTTTATACAATTGTATGTTCACACCTGGTATTTGGTCTGATTGTGGTGAAATACAAATTATGCCGTCCCCAGGAATTATCATCGCAGACCCCAACAATGCTGTAGTCTGAGCAGTTTCAATTATTTTCTTGAATTTCCATTATTATTATTATTATTATTATTATTAGTAGTAGTATTTCAAAAGTGCTGGTAACATAACGGTTATAGGCGCAGAAAGTAGAATCCGCCAAGCGAGTTACAGCCGATGCTGTTATGTGATTTCGTAATAATACCCCTGGGAAAGGAGTGAATTCATATCTTGTTTCCCCAGCTATGGATTCAAAAACAGGACAGATGGAAGCCAGTCTAAAAGAAAGGAAAACTCTGAAGTTTAAATTCTGATTAATTAGGAGTGGCAACCCGTAGCTTCTCCTAATGGATATATCTCCATTGTTATAAGAAGCACCTATGGCTTAATGTAAACATTATTAAAAAGATTAATGTATTTGTGTAATCCGTCAAAGATCTGGTGGTTGTTGTGGACAAACTAACAGCAAATCTCAGATCTAAACTATATGATCGAATCTCCAATTAATCCAGTCTTACTTCTAGAATTTTTGGCACTGTTACAGCTGCGATATGCTTTGGAAGCATGGCCAGAACATGAACGTTTCAAAACTTTTTCACTTCCGAACGAATTCTTAGTCATTTTTCTACTTTCTTCTTTTTATCTTTATCCTTACTTTGTGGTTTGCTGGTAAAAGTTGGATATGTCCGATGTGGCAAGTTTTCTTTATTTTCCTTGTTTAGGACTAAGAAAACACCGTCTTTGATTAGATGCGGTGGTCGGCTGAAATTTCATTGTATTTGGTTCTATGTTAGACTGTTTCATAACAATGTTAGATTTGTTTATTTTCCTCTTTGTTCCGTTATAGTTACGCTGTGATGATAATAAAAATAATAATAATGCTTCAATTAACAGTGAAAGTGACATTGACATTGCTGGCAACAAAATCCCCGAAGAGAGTTAGAGAAATAAACAACACACACACACACACACACACACACACACAAACAAATCAAAGAATGTATTATATATATATATATATATATATATATATATATATATATATATATGTGTGTGCGTGTGTGTGAAGAAATAGTTTTAAGGTGTGCTATATTTATGGGATAAAGTGCTCAATAACAGAGATAGAGCGTATATAAAAAGTGAACATTAAATTCAACAGGTTGTTTCTTGCTGGACGCAATCGTATATATATATATATATATATATATATATATATACAATGACACGCATAAGTATTGGATACATGTTATTTTCTGTTATAACTCTAGTTTATGTTTGTCATTTTGCCTGATATTTGGTAAGTAATATCTCGTAAAGTTGTTTTAGTTGTTTGTGGAAGGAAAATTAAAAACTCATGGTTGAATCCATTTTTTTTTATCAAAGTTCAAAATTACCCTATGAAAAGTATTGGATACATCAATTTAATATTTTGTTGCGTAGCCTCTGTTTTGTTTTACTGCTTCCAGTCACTTTCTATAGTTGGCCACAAGTTTTCCACACTGATCCACCGTTACTTTTTCCCCATTCTTCCTTACATAATTCCTCTAATTGCTTGATATTTTGTGGATTCCGCTTATGAACTTTAACCTTCAAAGTATTCCACAAATTCTCAATTGGATTCAAGTCAGGAGACTGACTTGGCCAATTGAGAGTACTAATACCATTATTTTCAAACCATTCCTTTGTAAGTTTTGCGGTATGTTTGGGATCATTGTCGTGTTGAAGCACGAAATTCCGACCATGTCCTAAAGAAGTTGCAGATTTCTGAAGGTTCTTCTCTAGAATCTCCCTGTACATGCTACCATTCATTCTACCATGGATAACTTGTAACTCACCAGTGCCCTTGGATGAAAAGCACCCCCATATCATAATGGAAGTACCCTGAAACTTAAGTGTGGGGATGGTAATGTGCTTGTTGAAGGCAGTGCCATTTTTTCGCCAAACACTTGTCGCTGTGTTCCTTCTGAATAGTTCAACTTTCGTTTCATCCGACCAGATTACCTTTTCCCAAAACAGCATACCTTTCTTTTCATAAGTTTCGACAAACTTTAATCGGTCTTTGACATGTTTGGTTTTCAGTAAAGGCACTTTTCTTGGTGATCTTGAATGAAAGCCTGTACGATATAGAGCTCTGCTAATGGTATCCTTACTTATATTAATTCCAGCACCCTCAAGATCAGTTTTAATTTCAGAACGAGTAATGAAAGGTTATATATATATAATGGCACCTTAAAGCGGTGTAATGGTTAGCAAGCTTGCCTCGTTAGAACAATTACGACTGAGTAGTGAGCGTTCGATCCTCACTGGGAGCCACCTACTTTCGGCCACATCTAAGCTACGCTTGGAAAATCACTATATATATATATATATATATATATATAAATTCTTGTTCGCATGCTTCTTAAGTTTCGCCCAGTCGAGGACTCCTTACATTTGAGAACGAATGCTCTATTTAATGTGTTTCCCATCGGTACATTTCTTTACATTGAGGAATCTTTTTAACTGCTTTCCGAATCATGAGACACGGGTTCGAACTTCACCATGGTCGATTTGCCCAAAGCCTTGTGATTGAAATTGCGTGGACGGAACTATTCGGAAGCCGACGATGGTTGTGGTAGCACGAAGTTACAAGTCATCGTGACCGAGGGTTTGAGTTGTTCAAGCTTTATATTATGACAGATTATGCTATATCCCCCAGAAAATGTAACTAAGGTCTGTTCTGCATAGTGAGTGTTGAACAAACACCGATGAGCCGGTGTCTCTGACAGGGACTAGCAGATTAGTATGATCAGAAAACTAGAGTAACTGACCATTAATTCCCGCGGAGCTATGCAAAGTACCAGGTTGAGAACTGGCGGGGGCTAGCTGCCCTTGATGGGGGTGAATGGAGTCTCTCAGAGCTTTGGCTAGCAATCATTTTAGTGTTGGTTTCACGATAAAAAGACTTCAGATGGGAAGGAAAACTCATGACAGCTTAACCTGGTCATTATATTGCATGTGTCTGCCAAGAGGCGTGTACTGGCTGGTATTGACTGTGATCTGAGAGGTTAAACTCTCTGATAATAACACATGACGACTGTCGTTCGGAGTTTCCGTGGCAAGTCTTTTGCATCGTTACTTTTTTACCGACAGATCCAATGGTCCGACACAAGCCTTCACTCACTTGAAAGAAATCATTGTGTTGATTTTCTGACAACTACATCTAATTAGTTCCACACATATCCGGTTACTGTGAAAAATTCTACTAAATAACATCAACCTCAGTTTGGCACTAGGAATCTACGAACTCTCCAGGACAACAACTCAGCACCAGAAAGAAAAACAGCTCTGGTCACATTGGAGCTAAAGAAGTACAACATTGATATAGCTGCACTGAGAAAAGGTTTCATATGCACCAATATTGGATATGGAAACACAATCATCAGGCGATTCGGGGAGCACTTCATCGTGGTGTAATGGTTAGCAAGCTTGTCACGCTAGATCAATTACGACTAAATAGTGAGTTCGATACTCACTGGGTGCTTTACACTATCGTCTTTGTGCCACATCTAAGCAACGCTTAGAAAATTACCATCAGGCGATCCGTGTACATATGTGAGTGGTCAGTTCTCATAGGTCCTTCCTCTCACGCCACCCAGAGAACCAGAACTTTGGAGAACCAGCCACTCACATGTCTCTCCGGATCGCCTAATAATTGTATTGTGACAAGCCGGTTCCCTGATTAAATTTAATTTATTAAATGTTCCAATTGATTTGTATTCATGCAGTTGATTTAGAAAGTTTTTTTAAGGATGTGTTTCATTCGATTTGTATGCTCTGCCTGTTATATTCGGGAGATGGCGCTATTCTTGTCTGCTGTAAGGAAGTAACCAAAAATTTCAGAAACTTATTGAAAAATCATTGTATAATGGAATTGTGAAACTATATTCTAAAAGTGTTATAACTTGCTCCTAGCGGTTATAATATTGTGGCTCGCTTAGACTACTCGTCGTAACGCCATTAGAAATTCTCCTCGAAAGACTCCAACGGACCTCCTTTGACTCACTTTCAGTTCTCTATTTAAGGCGTCTTGCCTAGTTCATTTGTGTTACCGGGGGTGTTATTTACAGAACCAAGCCATTTGAACATGTTTAGCTGATCCGGTTCATACATGTGGTTTTGGATTTTTACCCATTTCTCACACATAAAATATATAATATATTTGGATCGTCTTATACACGACTGTTTCCGATAAGCTTGATAAATATCGAATGGGCACCTACTGTAGAGCTGTGGACTACGAGCTCGGCATGCAAACCTTTAACAGTGTAGTAATATTTTAAAACATTCTCACCTCTCCGTGCGGTCGGAAATTATAAAAACGAAATGTTTTGTTTTTGCTTTGCTGATGAAGAAACTTCACCGTTATTTCGAACCCAAATTCTCTCACTGTAATAATCCGCAGCGTACAGTTAATTTTTCAGTCGATTATGCTGTCCGAGCTGTACTTCGACAAAGTTATCACGAAGACGAGTACCAGTGGACATTTCACGATTTAAAATATATATATATATATTTAAAACATAACTAGAATTCGAATCTGAATTGCC